TTGGGCATGCTATTGGACAAATATAAGAAAGTTTTGCAACCACCATGGTAGTATTGATCAGTTTTACATGAAAGTGATATCAAGGAGTTTGGATCAGTGCTAATGATCTTGATCTTGTTCTAGATTTCTTTCTGTTAGAAAATCTGAACTACAAAGTGTAACGACCCGACCGGACGTTTTACTTTTTAGAACTTCGTTCCCCTAAATAAAACTTCCCGCGCTTGATTTAGCTAATTTACGACTTGCCGGGGGTGGTTGGTTCGGGATTTGGAAGAGTTTGGGTTGATATAAGCCCACTTGAATCCTTAAGATTTTCTAAAAAGGGCAAGTTTGACTTTGGTCAACAATTCTTGAAAACGGACCCGGATCTATGTTTTGACGGTCCCGGAGGGTCTGTAGGAAAATATGGGACCTGGGCGTATGCCCGGAATCGAATTCCGAGGTCCCTAGCCCGAATAATGAATTTTTATTAGAAATTATTAAAATTAAAATTCCTAGGATTTAAAGAAACTAAATAATGATTGATCATATTGGTATCGGGCTCGTATGTTGGTTCCGGAGTTCAGTACAGGTCCAATATAACATTTAAGACTTGCTCTCAAAGTTTGGTGCCAATCCGAGTAGTCTAAGTGCGTTTCGGCTCGTTGGAAGTGAATTAAGAACTTGAAGTTCATAAGTTTGATTTAATTGGTTATAGGGGGTGATTCTTAGATTTAGTGTTGTTTCGGGCTATCCGAAGGTTCGAGCAAGTCCGTTTCATGATTTCAAACTTGTTGGTATGTTTGGGCGGGGCCCGGGAGCCCCGAGCGTCAATCGGACGAGGCTCGAGTGAAGTTGGAAAATTTGAGAAGTGTTGAAGCTTTAGCTCCAGCCGCATGTGCGAGACTGTAGAAGCGGTCGCAGCCTCGCAGATGCGGCCCAAGGCTGGCCAGGCCAAACCGCAGAAGCGGATGCGCAGAAACGGCTTCAAGACCGCAGAAGCGGTCCCAGACCGTTTAACCAATTCCGCAGATGCGGCCTCCCTCTCGCAGATGCGGTCCCCAAACCGCAGATGCGGAAATCGCTGAAATAGTAAGCTTCATTTAATATGAGCTCCATCCATTTTTAACCATTTGGCACACGGGTATTGAGCGATTTTGGAGCTCTTGAGAAGGGATTTCCACATAGCATCGTGAGGTAAGTTCATCCCCCATATTTCTAAGTTTAATACTCGAGTTTTGGGTAGAGTAACACCTAAAGATTTGGAGAAATCAAGGGGTTAGAGCAAAACCTAGGGTTTTGATAAAACTTAGATTTTACCACGAAATTGGTTATGAAACGAAGTAGAAATCATATATTATTGATCCTTAGGTTGCAAGGAACAACTATCTCCGAAAAATGTTGGAATCCGGGCACGTGGGCCCGGGGTTGGATTTTAGTGAACTTGTGTTTAAGGTTGGGGAATTGCTTTAATAGTTAGAATGCGATCTTGCAAGCTTGTGTTGACTATTTCCTACTTCATTTAACTAGTTTTGGATCGTTCAGCTCCAAATTGAGAGTTCGGGCTCGTTCTTGGTATTGAAAGTGTACTTTGGAGCGAGGTGAGTCTCCTATCTAACCTTGTAAGAGGGAATTGTCCCCATAGGTATAATAATTGAATAATTTGTCACTAAATGTGGGGGCTACGTACGCGCTTGGTCATGAGGGCCCGTGCGTAGCTACTATTATGCTTAAGTCCGGGTAGTTTAGGACCCTAAAGCATGTTTTATGTGATGTTCTTGTGACTCTATGATTTAATTCGAGACCTCTTAAATCTTGTTGAATATGATAAACGGGTCTTATAAGTGGAACACTATATTCTTGCCCTTTTAAATGATATTTTGTGAGTACTTGTTCTCCTGATGTCTGATCTTATCTGCCTGTTGATGTGTTTAAATACATTTGACCACGCCGCATGTATGATTCGCGAGAGGAGAAATAGATGCATCTATGGTCCGCGTCGTTCGACCCTCCGGCAGTGCACACTTTATTTTTTTTATGTTGGATCGGGCCGTACGACCTCGGCACTACTTGCGTATGCTTATTGACTGGTATATTGCCGTGGATGAAACCTTGTTATATGCCTTGAAATGAAATGAGTTAACTGTGATATCACCTGGTTAAGGGCTTGTTGCTTCATGCTATAAAATGTTATTTATTGTGTTATCCATGCTTAGTGTATCACCTATCATGTTATTTGACCCTAGTAAGTGTCATGTCGACCTCTCGTCTCTAGTTCTTCAAGATTAGACAGGATACTTACTGGGTACATATTGTTTATGTACTCATACTACGCTTCTGTACTTAAATGTACAGGATTTGAGGCAGGTACATCTGACTACCATGTTGGCGCATATCCTTGATCGCCCGAGATTCCACGGTGAGCTGCTCCCTTCCCATGTCGTTCAGCAGCCCGATGGAGTCTTTTTCTTTACTTTTGGCTATCTATTCTACCTCAGACAGTAGGATAATATTATTCTTTTGTATATTCTGCTAGCTGCCCACGCACTTGTGACACCAGGTCTTGGCACACACATTAGTAGACTATTCTTTTGGGATGTATAGCTATTTCTAAATGTTGATTATTATCGCATGCTTTAATTTCTATTTAAGAAAATTTCGCAATTGTTTTAGTAAGTAAAATGAGAATCTTATTAATATTTCCGCTTTGGCTTGCCCGACAATGATGTTGGGCGCCATCACGACTTGAGGTGAAATTGGGTCGTGACAACATGGTATCATAGCACTAGGTTCAAGTAGGTCTCACGAGTCATGGCTAAACCTAATAGAGTCTTGCGGATCGGTACAGAGATGTCTGTATTTATCTTCTAGAGGCTATAGGGTATTAGGAAACTATTCTTTATTCATTTCCTATCGTGCAATGGATGGTACACTAAGTTTCTCCCTTCTATTCTCTCACAGATGGTGAGGACTCGCACGGCAGATGTTCCCGACCCGGGAGGCGCCGCTCCCCCCGTTGCTAGAGGCCGAGGTAGAGGCCGGGGGAGGGCACCAGCCCGAGGTAGGGGACAAGGGCGTCCCAGAGCTATCCCACGTAGCACCACCAGCGGATCCGGCAGGAGATCCTACTATTGAGGAGCAGAGCGAGGTGCCCGCAGCTAAGCCTACCCCGACGGACTTTATGTCAACACCGGGTTTTCAGGAGATCATGGGTCGGATGCTACGGTTCATGGACACCATGACTCAGACTGGTTTATCTCCAGCGGATCCAGCTACATCACAGNTTTGTTACCATTCTCTTCACTCTCATACAACATTTAAATTCTGCATTTGTAAAGGTGCACATGCACAGACAATCACAATAACAACTTGAAATCTCTTATAGATAGACAAGATAGACAAGAAGAACATTGCCATTAATTGAGTAGCAAATTTACATTGTTTCAAGATTTAAGCCCAATAAAACATTGCTATTAGACAAGTAAATGTATGATCCGAAAACCTGTACCACTATCATAACATTTACTTGTCTAAAACCCTAGAACATAAACAAACATCATGTACTCGAATAGTCATGCAAAAAAAGAATTTTAATGTATATTACATTCATCATTTCTTGCTACACTACTCCCCCTTGCCCCTCCCCTTGCCTCTTCTAGCTTTGAGTTTGCCAATCTTTTTCTCTTTCACACCCAACAATTGAGCTGTTGTCATTGTTTCCTTCCCCTTCCAGGTAGTTTTCTTTGGGGAGTATGGCAGTTTTGTTGGTTGTGAGCTACCAGTGTGATCACCTGTGAATGATATCTTCCTAGTGCTAGAATTTTATTAATTCCTACGCTGAAGTCTAGTCTTAATATCAGACACAACCTTAGGCCTTAAGACTGGGTCAGCTTCTGCACCAAAGTGTGCTTGAATAAGCCTTCTTCTGGTCTGAATACTTTGAGTGTTGGAGTGCTGAGTTGGCATTTGAGTGTCCTGACTGGATTGCTGACTTGGCTGCTGAGTGTCATGACTGGATGGATGAGTTGGCTGCTGAGTGGTCTGACTGGATTGCTGATTTGGCTGCTGAGTGTCATGACTGGATGGTTGAGTTGGCTGCTGAGTGTTCTGACTGGATTGTTGGTCTTGTACTTTAAAACCTGGAGTAGGGACCATAAAAAATTCTGATTCTTGGTCTTTATTTGTCTGAGTGTGGTCTTGCACTTTCTTTTACTGTAATTATAATCAAATATATATGTTATCTTGTGAGTAAAAAAAATAGATTGTGAGTAAAAAAATAGACAACTTCTTTTATTATGATTTGGCTGGCCACAAAAACTGCAAGTCATCTGAAGACCCTTCCTAGATGTTGACCATTGTCCTTGACTTTTCCTAGCTTCATCCTTCTCTCTTGACCTTTTTAGTTTAGGTCTACCAACCATCTTTCCTAGTAGTGGTGGATCCATGGCTTGGTGTGGCTCAACTTTCCAGAATCGTCCACCTCTAACAGGCTGCAGTTTGTGTTGATACACCAACTGCCTGGCTTGTTTGGAATACCACCAGTGAATCCCAAGTGTTGGGTCTCGTTTCTTATATAAGAATGCCCTGATAGCATGAGCACAAGGGATTCCAAACAAGTCCCAAAGCCTGCATGTGCACCTTTGTTGCTCCAAAATTACTGTGTGTCTGTCTTCACCTTCACTTATTTCAAAACCCCTTTCTCCATTAAAATTTTCCTTGCACTTTGAAGCCATATCTCTATAATCATTGTATAACTCCATTGCATATGGGATGTATTCACCTCTCCAACTGTTAACTTCTTCTGCTCTATCCTTTAGTTGATTCATCACCTTCAATAGTTAATCAGTAACATAGTAAATCAATGTTAATCAACAGTATGAAATCAGTTACATAGTAATTAGTCAACAGTAGTAAATCAGTAGTTAAGTATTAAATCAGTAAACAAGCAGTTAGTCAAAGTAGTTAACTTCACCTTCACTCTTATATCCTCAAGCATCTACACTATTGGCTTATGTCTAGCTTTAAGAATCCAAGAGTTGAAGGAATAAGACATTTAAGTTCTCCATGAACCACTGCCAGGTTGTCTTTGTTTCCTTATCCACTACAGCCCAAGCTAGTGGATAAAAATGCTTGCAAGAATCTTGGGAACAAGCAACTAACAACATCCCTTTGCATTTGCCTTTTAAAAATGTTCCATCTAGACCTATAAAAGGTCTCAAACCTGCTTTGAATCCACTCTTGAGGGCTTGGAAACTGACATACATCCTCAAAAATCTTCTCTTACCTTCCTCCATTGCCTCCAATTTGTTGTACTCATCCAAGTAAGAACCCTCCAATTTCTCTAAAACCATTCTCTTTACCCTTTTTAACTTTGAGTCACTCACATTCAAACTAAATCTATCCTCTAAATCAACCTTCATCTCTTTAATCTTAAACTTAGGATTATTTTGAATCTTTCTCTTAAAATAATGTGTTAAAGCAACAGGAGTAGCTCTTTTGTTCTCAAAGACTTCACCACAGTCATGTTCATCCCTCCAAGTTTTTATCTTTACCCCTTGATCTTTGCCATCCTTAGAAATAAGACATTTAAAGGGACACCCTATCTGACACTTGTATCTAAGTCTTCTCTTATCACTCTTATCTACCTTAAGGCCCCTCTTATTAGACACAGCATAATAACCAATAACCTCCTTAGCTTCAGCAAGATCTTTGAAAGTCATACCCTTTTCCAATGTTTTATACCTATCAAGGTTGTTAGTTACCTCACACTTCTTCTGCCTCTCAAATAAACCTAGGGCATCACTATCATAATCACTATCAACACTTTCAATATCTGTATCATCTTCAGTACTATCACAGTTAGAAGCTACAACAACAGGTACACTATCTATTGCTGCTGTATACTGGGTAAATACAGGAACATTTACAGTATCATCCAGCAGGTCAACACCAAATAATTATACATTAGTGAAACCATCATTAATTAGGGCTTGAATCTTCTTAATCCCTCCATCCCCATCTAACAAAAAATACCTCCCAGAAGGGTCAAGAAATATCAGTTGTTGTATCTTAACATATCCTATCACTTCAGTGTAGTCTTTACACAAATCAATATAAGAGAGACGGTCTACTTCATAACCACCCAACACGTGCACATCACCCCCATAATTAAAATATAAGTTCACTTTATCCACCATCCTTCTGATAAAATCACATGCAACAACAATAAAAAAGGGCAAAATGGGACCACATCAGCAGTATAATACAAAGCGACAGTAAAAATATAAAGATATGAAACCCCACCATCAATTAAATATACAAATCGACAAAAACCATAGCTTTAATATGTAGGACCAATACGATAAGGACCACCAAAAACAAAAGTAACATAAAAAATTCTAGAAAGGTACAAAATATAGCTCACTAAACATAAAAACATCACATGCAGCAGACATAAACCTGTCAGTTCCCAAATATTCCCCAACCCTACAATTTAATAACTTTAAGCTGTAAATACTTACTTTAATCGAATAATAATGCAAGATATCGCTGGAAATCAAAGGTCTTCCTGTTTTGAGCGCACCAAATCGGACTAGACAATGAACCCTAACAAAGCCCTAAAATTGCCATTGATAGTTTAGATAGAAGAAATGAGAGAAATGGTAAAAAGTAAGAATTTTGTCGGTGGGTTTAGGGTTAAAAGACTGACCCATATGTAAAATAAATGGGTCGGATCGGTGTAATGGGTAAAAAAATACCCAAATATAATGTTAGCCCCACTGATCCACGTGGACAAATGAAATAAGGCCACATCAGTTAATGAGATGCACACATGGAATTCCATTAGTCGCGGGGGTAAATTTGAAATTAGAAATAACGTCCTATATATTTTCAGACGGATAGATGGACGGGGGGCTTTTATAAACCATTTACCATACGATAGGGATATTTTTGGCCCTTTTCCGTTTCACTAATTCTATAAAATTTAAGTTTTCTTTGTCATATCTAAAGTGCCTTCCCTGGTGCTTCTGCAAGTTGTGGTTTTGCAGGCTTTGTTTTGTCTACAGTTCTGATCTTGTTCTTCTTCTCGGTATATACAAAATGAAAAAAAAGTGTATCTTCGTGCATCTTCTAAAGTCAATCTTGGGGAATATGAGTGGATGTATAAACTTGATTAAAAAGATAAAATAAAGGATACAAGGTGCAATTTTGTGGGTTTTGAAGAAAGATGCCATCTTCTGTTCTATTGCACCAGTAGAGTAATCTACAGGTGTGAGAAACTATTGCGGAGATGTTGATCATGATGACTAATCATATAAACAAATGGTATTATGTCTAGGCCTCCTGCGATGATGGCTTTTGTGCAATTGAGATGACGAAGGCTCTCCTTCTCGCTACCTAAATACTATCAATCCTTCGTAAACCCTTTGAGCCGGTTACGCTTCTTTGGCTACCCTCTTTGGAACCCGGAAGTACAAGAAGAAAAGAAAAAGAACAGAAAAGAAAAGAAAAAGAAAAGAGAAAGAAAAGAAAAAAGAAAAAGAATAAAAAAGAGAGAAAAGAAAAGAAAAGAAAAACAAAACAACAAAAACAAATGTTTGCCTGAACTACGTTTGACTTGATTCCGAAAGGATACGTAGGCAGCCTCTCCCTGAGGTTCAGTCACACCAAAACAAAAATCCCAATTTCCCCAAAAGATGAAACTGGGGCAGATGATATAATGGTTCGGCCATAAATCCGCCGAAACGGTTCCAAAGTTGTAGTTCTGCCCAAAGTCCTTTTACCCCAAAACCTTGTCCAAGTCCTTTCGATCAATTGACAAAGGCATGGAAGTGGCAAACGTCATTGTTGGAATCTGATACAATTCAAATTGAGAGAAATAAAATGAGAGAGTCTTATCGGTGAAAACCTTCGGGCACCATAAGACGATGGTAAGTAGAGAAACTGAAAATGAGAGAGTCCGTTTAGTGAAAACTCGCAAAGAGCACTATCGGGCGACGGTGAGAAGAGGAATGAGAGAGGTCGATTGGCGAAAACCCGCAAAGGGCGTTGTCGGCCGAAAAGAAGACATCTCACCACTAAAAGAGTCCTGGCAAAGTTCCCTGGTTTTGAAATACGGATCAATGAGTTCACAAGAAGCTGGAAAGTTTGTGTGGGTCGGGCATCCAGTCCAAAAAGCATGTCATGTTCATTTGAAGCCAGCATGCACCCAAGATAAGTCCTCCTTTTCCCCTGAAAGGGACACTTCTCTTTAAAATCATATGCTTGCCTTTTGCATACTTTTTCTTTGAATCCCTTTCGGTTTAACTCTGATTCCGTAACTAGTACAAAGAAAAGGTGGCAGGACCGGCTTCACAGGGCTCCGCCTGGTCAGAGTCGAAGAAAATACCCAGCCTCAGCGAGTGCGTCAGGCCAATCCCGACTGACCATAGTGGTTGATGCTTTCAAAGCAAAAACATTGGAAAAGAAAGGAAGTCAAAGGCAAAGGTCCCAAGGGCAGAATAAAGTGAAAAGGCTAGAGCCCACACGGGCGAGTCATCATGAAGTCCTAAGGTTGAACCCGGTCGGTTTGAAAAGAGATTCACCCTCAAGGCAAACGAGCAGCAAAGTTCTCAACGGAAATGGGGTCGGGATCAAGCAATTGAGATGATCAAGGCCACAAAACCAACCACCGTTTCAAACTAACAAATCGTTCTTTGTTGAAAACAGGTCTAATTCAAAGCAACCGTGCAAGAAGCAGGTGCAATCCAAAAGGAAATGAAATGCGCAAGCGCTGACAGCTTTGGCACAGGAAAACGACCAAAAAGGAAGTTTCTCCCCAAATTCATTCATGCGTTTTGCTAAATAAAAAGGAAAACATATAAAGAGGAAAACAAAAGAAAAAGAAAGAAGAAAAAAAATAAAAATGAAAATCCCAAAAGAAAAACAAATCATGGTAGCATAGGATCCCATTCCTTAAATATCCGGCCAAAAACTGAGATCTCCCGGCCAAAAAACCAAGGAGCCTTTCTTTCAAAATCCGGCCAAAAAACCGGGATCTCCCGGCCAAAAAACCGAGGAGCCTTTTCTTTCCAAATCCCGGCCAAAAATCGAGGATCTCCCGGCCAAAAAATCGAGGAGCTTTTTCTTTCCAAATCCCGGCCAAAAAACCGAGGATCTCCCGGCCAAAACACAAGGAGCTTTTTCTTTCCAAATCCCGGCCAAAAACCGAGACATTCCGGCCAAAAACCCGAGGAGCTTTTTCTTTCCAAATCCCGGCCAAAAAACGAGGATCTCCGGACAAAACACCGAGGAGCTTTCTTTCCAAATTCCGGCCAAAAAACCGAGGATCTCCCGGCCAAAAACCGAGGAACCTTTTTCTCTCCAAATCCCGGCCAAAAGACCGAAGATCTCCCGGCCAAAAAACCGAGGAGCCTTTTCTTTCCAAATCCCGGCCAAAAAACCGAGGATCTCCCGGCCAAAAAACCGAGGAGCTTTTTCTTTCCAAATCCCGGCAAAAAACCGAGGAGATTTTTCTTCCCAAATTCCGGCCAAAAAACCGAGGAGCTTTTTCTTTCCTAATCCCGGCCAAAAAAAACCGAGGAGCTTTTTTCTTTCCAAATCCCGGCCAAAAAACCGAGGATCTCCCTACACAATCCTGATTTAATTGCTTAGATATGTGTCACAACTAACTCACGAAATTTTCCTAGTGAAAACTAGGGCAGAAAATTTCGTTCGTTTGTTTGTTTTGGTATCTTAAGCAGGTTGACCTCAAGACATAGGGTGCGAGATGACCGATGGAATGAGTCTCAATCCAGAATAAAGAAAAGAGGAAAAGAACAAAAAGAAATGAACTCGAATGTGAAGCAAACAAAGGTGTGAACTGCTCAAAATTTGATTAAAGTCATAAGCCCGCCGATCCCGCATTGACCCAATGCTGCAGAAAGAAACAACACCTACAACTTGCGAGCATCAAGATTCAGATCGGAGTCCACGGTAAAATCAGCTAAGACTCAAGATCAAGTTTCAAGAGATTTATAGATAGGAATCTTGTAACTCATAGTTGATAGGCATAGCTAGCTTAGCTTTGATTTTCCTTTTGGTGTAATAAGGAGGTCAGCAAGCAGTAGCCGCAACAACAGCAGTGAAATCACGGCTCCTGGTAGTCCCAGCTACCAAACCTTCCAGAACTACAGTGACCTGATTCCTTTATAGCCAAGGATATGTAGGCAACCTTTGAAGCAGGGTTCAGTCAGGCGGTTTTCAAAAAATGCTTCTCATGGAGTGCTGAGCAGGCAAAAATCTTTCATGATGCTCATTTATCTTTGCCCGAAAACCCTTCGTGTCTTCGAGCAAAGAGGGGCAGTTGTGAGCACGTGATTTTTGCCACGCTTAAATTACTCCTATAAATTCCTTAGAATTAGGATTTTTCTTTATTATTTGAATTAACTGCATGATTTTGTGCCTTGTTTGCATTTTTGTGTGCATCTTAGTTGCCATAATTCATAAAAAAAGTACAAAAATAGTGCATTTGCATCTAGAATTCGGTTTTATATTAATATTACTAAAATGAGAGAAAAAATAACAAAATGGTCTTTTCATAATTTTATATTAGGACATAGTCTATTCTTTTAGAAATTAATTAGTCTAAGTTTGGGGAGTTTAAATTAGGTTTTGTTAGTTTTAATTTTGTAAAGAAATAAACAAAACAAATAAATAAAAAGGAAAAAAAGAAAAGAAAAGGATTTTAATAAAAGAAAGTGATTAATTGAATTAAAACAAGAGAAGAGTAAATCAGGCCATCAGTCTTGGGCCAAAATCGAGTCCAGAACCTCTCAAACCCACCTCAAATCCGTTAACCCAGCCCAAGACCCTGTCTAAACCCGGTCCAGCCCCCCCATATGCAAAACGACACCGTTTTGGCCCAGGTGAATCCATGCCGTCCATCGCCCATCATCCAACGGTCCAGATTCGTTCAAGGGATTTACATAAAAATGTAATAACCCCTTTACAAAATTAGAGACCAAACAGTCACCCTCCTCGTACCCCCGTCTCCCACCGCCATTCACCATCAGACCACCTTATCTCCGCCGCCTTCCACCGTCCGCCGCCGGCCGGAAATCGCCTTTGCCGGCGGCGATGCTCCAAATCACCCCAAAATTACACCGTTGATTCCTCTCCTCCTCCTCTTTCCATATCTAACTTTAAATTCCCTCAA